CAAAAATCACAAATCAGAAATACTTTAGTGACTATAGGACCAGTTTGATGTAACACAATTTCAAACGATATATACATTTTGGGGGTCCCCGCTCCATCTCACCATCAGTTTGGGGGTCCTTGGCCTGGAAAACGTTGAAAATGCCTGATATTAAGTATAAATTAAATGAAAAGCTAAAAACTACCACAGTTATGATCCAAATACTGAAAAAAATTTCGTGTGGAAGGTGCAGACAAGTCTTTTTTTTAAAATGTTTTCATTGTCGTTACACTGTCACAAGTAGAGAGAAACAAAATGAACTCTCTTGCATTTAACCCATCCTCTTGGGGAGCAGTTGGCCGCCATTGTGTGGCGCCCGGAGAGCAGTGTGGGGTTAAGGGTCTTTGCTCAGGGACCCAGAGTGACAGTCCGTGGGAGTGGGACTTGAGCTCACAACCTAAGGATTCCAAACATAACTGGGCCACACTCCCCTTTTCTGGAGGCATTGCTCTGATCTCTCAGTAAAGGTGTTATTTTTTTTCTAAACAATTTTTTTTTCTATATAAATAATTACTTTCTGGAAAAGTAGCGTTCCTTCTATGTGGCAGCAAACAAACATGGGATCTCTGACCACCAGCTATAGGGCGACAGTGAGAAAGACGGGGTGTTTCTCTGTCAATTGTACAACACAGAGAAATCTCTTTATTTTATTTCTTCATATTTAACCCTACTTTTCTTTTGTGTGCTCAGGAAGGACGCGAGCAGTATGAGCTGGCTGCGACCTCGGAGCAGTGCAGCAAGAAGAAGGCAAAGGCGAAGAAGAAAGAAAAGGATATGGATGAACTGAAGAAGGAAGTGGACATGGTGAGGGTTTTTGTTTTTTTAATTCCCCTCGCTGCCTCAGGAGGCCTTCCTCTGATTGTTTAACGTCTCTCTGGGTTTGCTCCTCACATCCTCTCTACTTTCTCTTACAAATCTGATTGGAGAGAAAAGAAAGTTTCAAAGTGCTTCTTTTCCACCCATCACATCCTCTTAGTTTGCCGCTTGTTCCATTCGTCTCTTTCCGTCCTTTTAAAGCTCTAAATGTTATTATATGAGAGGTGCTTATGGGGGAACGAAAGGTCGGCTCACAACAGGCTGTAAATGTCACCGGCTTCGGCCATATTGGGTCCACACGTACGACCTGAACACTTTGTCTCTGTGCTCTTGTTGCAGGATGATCACAAGCTGAATCTGGACGAGCTCCAGCGCAAATATGCAACAGACCTCAACAATGTGAGTGAGAGCAATGAACATCACAGCTGCAGCGTCAGCATGGAAAAGTTGGAGCTGCGGCTTGTTGGATTGTTATTGTTACTGACATGGGAGGGAGGTTTAGCAGCTTGCTTTCTTTTTTAGTTTGACAGCTGAGATTCAAAGCATGTTTGTCTTTTTTTTTCCTGAAAAAAGCAAAATGTGCTTTTTAATCTTAAGTTCTCAACAAAAATAAAACAAAATACTTAAACCAAGTGGAAATGCAAAAAAAAAAAAAAAAAAAGAGAGAGAAATGCAAAATATCTAAATAAATGCTTGTATGGTTTTCTGTTTCAAAATGAGATTGCAAAAAAAAAAAAAAACAGTGTAGCTTTTTTTAAACCGTTGGATGTCCTTTTTTGTTTTAGCTAGTTAAAATCAGTTTAAAAAGTAACAGCAAACTCTGTTTTGGTAAGTAATAGTTAAAGCAGATGAGCTCTAAGCCTGTTTTAATGGCAAAAAGAAGCGAGCTTATACACTGAATCGCTGTAGAAGCTGAGCCCATAGCTATGTCTAGAAGAGAAACGGGGCTAAACTGAAAGAGATGAAGCTACTGTGAAAAGAAGAGAACAGAAAGTTTGGGGTTTTAATAACAAATACTACAGAATTGGAGAATAAAATAATTATGGAGACAGAGGGGAAGTGGTCCCTATGTCTTCCATCAGTCTAAGCCTATAGCAGCATATCTATAGAGATAGATCAGGGTACAGCTGAGCCGCTCTAACTATAAGCTTTATCAAAAAGGAACGTTTTAAGCCTACCTTTAAAAGTAGACAGTGTGGCTAAAACTGGTAGTTGGTTCCACAGGAGAGGAGCCTGACAACTCAAATATCGGTCTCCCATTCTCCTTTTACTTAAGACCTTAACTTTGGTTTGGTTTTAGAAGAACCATCTCTGGTGAAGAGAGATCTGAAAGCTGCTGCCATGTTTGTGTTGCTGTAAACTGCCAGTGAGTTATGGCAGTTTTGGGATAAATTATTTATGTGGGAGGAAGTGCAGCTGTAATGTTGTAATTAATGGTATTACGTAGGATTTTATCGAATTTTCCCCTCTCCACTTAAAAAAAAAAAAGCCCATTTGTCCTGGTGTTCGCTCTGTTTAAAAGTTGCTGTTCTCATAGCTTATACAAGCTTATTGTGCCCAAACGTTTGCCCTAATGCCTAAATCCCTCAATCACTATATAGAGCGGGGACCATATAGTGAATTTTATAGTCAAATTACCGTTCAGACAGTTGCCTGCACCATCTTTGTTATTAGTCGCCACTGTTAGATAGCGGCAGCATTTGGTGACATCGGGCCGCCTTGACAGCAAATCCCAGAATGCTGGGCGAGGACAGTTCTCCACGCACAGCATTTCTGGATACATCGGCCTCCTCTGAGGCCTTTCTTTTCTTCTTATACACTTTGTAGACACCTTTTCTCTTACGACCCTCTGCCATTTTCAAAGAACCGCGATGAGAAAGGTGAGCTTCAATGACTGTCTGAAATTAGCCTCGTGAGACCATCCTGATCTTGCGAGCTTTCAAGATTTCACTCGCAGATCAGTCTGGCTACTCTCCGTTAAAGAAAATTTGGAGCCGTTCACCAAACGAACGTCCAATCAGCGTTGGCTTTGAGG